CAGCCACGGCCCTCACAGCCCATCACTGTCACTAACAAAGGGAACAACTGTCACACCCCAGAGGACTTGGAGCCTGCACAGAGCAGTGAGAGCCCAGCGAGAGCAGGTGGCCTTGGGCCGAGCCTGCAAGCGCCTACCTTGAAGAGTTGGCAATGGTAGGAAAAATGTGAGGAGGACAGCGCCAGGACAATGACAATGAGCAATAAAGAAGGGACAGGTGTGCAGAAGCCTGGGGGCCTTGCAAGCGCTGTGCTCGAGGAGGGCTTCTCGGCCCCATGCTTCCCCTCAAAGCCTCCAAGCTTCACTACCTTGCTGATTCCTGTCACTATCCCTACTCAGCCCTGGACGTTTTGACTAACACTGGCTGTAACCCTTCCCTTGAATGACACCACCACTGTTATCCCCACAGTGTCACTAAGACACATATTCAGAAAGACTTTCCCAAAAGCAGGACAAGCTGCAGACCCCTGTAATCTCAGCTGCTTGGAGGGCTGCGGTAGGTGGACCACAAGTTCAAGCTCAGCCTGAGCAACTTATCCAGACCCTGCCTCATAAAACAGGGGAAGGGGTGGCTGGTGGGATGGCACAGTGTAAAGGGCTAGGTTCAATCCCTTGCCCAGAAAAAATAAAAAATAGAGCATCTTTAGTAAAGGCTAAGAGAGTCCTAAAAACAGGGAACAATCTCAGAAGACAACCTGAATCAGACAGATGACAGTTTGTCTTGCCAGCTGAGGGAGCACACTGGGAATCAGCCCTTCTTGCTTCTTCCTGTCTATCCACAAGTGAAATGCCAACTCTAATGCACCCCAGGCTCCCGTCTCACATAGGTAGTGCTCCTCACACTCAGGCCATGGAGGGCAAACACTCCTGGCCAGGTCTCTGTTCCACAGCCTGGTTTGGAATCTCAACACCAGCTTTCCCCCCAGTGGATGGGAACAGGGCAGTGTCTTGCTCTTTACTCCAGAACGTTTTCAACAATGCAAAACCAACTGCCCCAGCATGGTAAATACAAATACATACACACAGACGTACGCCAAATGGATAAACACAGCGTGTGGAAAGATACATTATCAAAAACAGGAATTTCGGAAAGGAGTTGCCGGATCAGGGATAGGAAGGGCAAGAGGGAGGGAGGAAGGAAGGATAGAAGGAAAACAATGGGAGAAGGCAGGGAAAGAGAACAGGAGAAGGGAAATAAGCTCAAACTGGGAAATATTCAACTTGAGGTGCCAAAACAGATCCAGGTAGATGCACATCAGACAGATAGATATTAATCTGAGGCTTATAAGGGAGTTTGACCCTGGAGATGTAAAACAAAAGGAAGAAGGAAAGGGAGGGAAAGAGAGGGAAAAAAGCAAAGAAATTCTGGAACTGTGTAAGAGAGTAGAGAAAGAAGAACACTGAGGGGAAGACAGACGCTTCGGAAGTGCCTCTGCCTCGCTGAACGTCAGGTGGCACAAAAGGAAAAAGAGGAATTGGCAAGGCAGAGGCAGAAAGAGAAGGCAAGGAGACCAAGGCAGTGCAGGCGATGCATCTGGGGAAAAGGACGGGTGGCCAATGGTCCAAAATGCTTCAGGCAGAAGATGGAATTTGTGACTAAGAGCAGCAGAATTTGGGACCAAGGTCAGAACGGACAAAAGGAGTGATCAGCAAGTGGAGGTTGGGCACAAGTCATGCACCCAGAGAGGTTGACAGTGGGGACACAGAGGACACAAGACACAGACTCCCTAAGCACAGGTCCCCGCTTATCCCATGGCTGCTCCCCCCCCCGAGAACCCAGGAACAGTTCCTGGCATGCAACCAGTACTTAGAAAGTCTCTGTTCATTGCTGTTGATTTAGTGAATGCTATTCTTTGATTAAAGTAAGGAATTAACAAGTTTCTCTAGAATATGACGGACTATAAGGAACAGACTTATTTTCAAACGTATGTAATTCACATGTATGTGTTCCCCGAAGGTGACACGGTTTTAAGACCTCGTTGTAAGTAACAGCTGTAGACAGAGCTCATATCGCTGGAGGCTGGTGGTCTTGTTTAGATGTTGAAGTCAGCCTTTTGGGAGTAATTTGAGGAAAAGGAGATCTCTCAGGTCAGACACAAAATAAGGAGAAAACCTGTAAGTGTCTGCAGGGTGGACATCCCTCTGCTCTGACCATGAGCCAGCAAGAGAGAGAAAGGAGCTCCTGAGGGGTGGGCTTTCCACACTGGGGCACGTAGAAAGCAAGACATTAAGAATGCTAGGATGGCTCCCGTCAGGTTGTGTTAGTCAGCTTTCCTTTACTGTAACAAACGCTGAGACAGGAAACTGTCAGTGAGAGGAGGATGATGTGGGCTCGGGTGCAGAGGTTTCAGTCCATGTTGCTTTGGGTCTGGGCCAACATCTCATGGTTAGAGTGTAAGGGCAAAGTCATTAAGGGGGAGAAGAGACCTGGATCCAGCCATCCCCTTCCAGGGTACACCCCCAATGACCCAGTGTGCCAAAGCTATTATGAGCCCCACACTTAAAGGTTCCACCCCCTCCTGGGAGTGGTCAGCTGGAGACCAAGCATCAACATGTGGGACATTCTTATCCAAACCACAGGAAAAGTTACAGAAACCCTTAGTGGCCACTTCCTCCAGGCTGCAAGTGGTTCTTGTACTTTGAGTTAACTTCCTATGTCCCTGCACATTTAAAAGTCTCTGGAAAGTTCCAGCCTGGTCATGAGAACATAGACAAGTTCAACTAGTGCCTGAAGAGAGGAAGATGGCAAGTGCTACGGCAGCAGCAGGAGCAGCAGCAGGAGTGAAAGAACACAAAGGACTGACGAAGCACTGATGCTTTGCCACCATCTCGACAGGTCAAGGATTTCTAAAAGCTGGATGGCAGGGTATTGTTCTTTTCCAGGAACACTAGATATAATTTTTTCCTGTTGTTTTTCATTTTGTTTTTGTTTAATTTTGACAGAAGATATCAGAGTAGAGATGAGGGCTAAAGAGAAAATTGATAGTGTGTGGGGGAAAAGGAACAGTTATGAAGAATCTATACAATATAATTATGCAGAACCTTCGAAGAAAGAAGAGGCTACTCAACCCAAAGGCTATGTAAGGAAGTTAGCTTTTGCAAAGCAATATAAAGAATGAGGGAGAGGGCGACATGGAAAACACTCCTTTGAAGCTCAGAATCAGATAGGGGGCCATGGCCACGGAAAGCTTACATGGCTGCTCTGGAGAGGTCAGCAGGGCCCAGAGAATGAGTGGGTTTCTCCAGGCTTCAGAGGCTAGATCCCTGGAGTGTCCCCAAATTCTAATCAGTACAGTTTAGCGCCACCTGTAACAGGACTTGGCCACCTGGAAAGGCTGTCAGTTTCTGGAAGTGCAAGTATACTGAGTTTATCTCAGTACAACAGGTCTACCATATACCAAGTCACAATAATAGGATAAACTCACACCTCATGGCAGAACTCACAAAGTCTGAAACAACTCTAAAGACAGGTAACAATAAAAAACAGTCATAATTAATCCATTCTATTATTCTCCAGATGGATTTAGGTTATATACACTCCTATCAAAGGGGAATAAATCTAGATGGACTAAATCTTTGAAATCACCCCATCTAACCTCTCATCTATTATGACTTCTTTGTCAAAAATCTATGGCAGAAACCATCCTTGGTCACTGGGTGCCCAAAGGCTCCTTTCCACATCTCGGCCTCCTTTGTAGGACACCTGAGGCCAGCAAAGCTGGGCTCTGGCTAATGTGACGTTGGTGGAAGTAATATAAGTCACTCCCAGATCTAGTTTCATCTTAAATGGAGGACGACCAGCCCACTTACATCACCAGACACACCGCTTGAGAGATAAACATGCTTGCATAGTGCTAGTCACCAATTTTTGTGGCATGTCTGTCCAGCAGCAAGCATTGATTAATTTTCAAGCCACCTTTTACTAATCTAGCAACTTAGAGTTGTCAAACACACTAGACAAAAGAATGCGGATTACTGTTACCCATATACCCAAAGGACAAAACAGTTGGCAGCAATCAGGAAATCCATTTTCATATTATAGTAACACTTCATTCATCTAAAAGTTATTACTTGAGACATAATTTACAAACCTAAGCCCTGAGCCCACAACCGAGAACCAGAAAGTCTGCAGTAGAGGTTTGAAAACAGTCCAGGCTGAGAGTTAAAAGAAGCTTTAGAGCTTCATTCACCCATTCACAGGTAGCTTTTACTGATTTAATCAAATTGTCTTGGATCTGGTCATCTGACACCAGGTACGAAATAGAAAACCGGAAACAATAAGGAGAGACGGCTAGCAGGGACCAAAACACAGCAGTACAGCTGGTAAGAGGGATCTGGACAACCCTAAAAGGTGACACACCCAAATCAAAGGGCAAGGGAGAGAGCCCCGCTTTAGAAAGGATGGGTGTGCCCCGTTGCTGCCCAGAGTCCCCAGTGCATCCCTGGCAGGTCTCAGTGCACTGATGCTGAGCATAGTGATCTGAGCTCTTCAACCAACCTTTCCAAGCTTCTAAAGAAAGCAGGAAAGGTAAGAAGACGGTTACTCAAAACAGTTCCGCTGCTGAAAGACATGCACTTGGTGCTTTGAAAACGCCACTGATGAAGACAGCCTTATGCCCTGGGATACCATGGGAAGGTGCTGCAAAGTGTAAAAAAAAAAATCGCCTATTGCACGCAAAGTTTACACTGGGTGGTTCACGCCAAGTAAATCCCGGTACACACATCCAACATGAAAGAAACTGGACTTCCATGACAAAAATCAAGATCCAAATGTCACATGGGTGGGAAGGGACCTTAGAGATCATGCATCACCCAAGGCTCTGGTTGAAAAGTTAGGGGATCAGCACACTCATCCCACCGTAGGGCGTGATTCACAGCCCATGCCCCCTGCTTTCTCAGCTGGGGCACAAGCAACCAGATTCCAGTTCTCCCAGGCAGACTCAACCCTCTCCAGCCCTTCCCGGGCCTTGCTGCTGCCGTACAGCTGTGCAAGCACTCACCTGGAGAAAGCAGCGTCCCACCGGGGTGTGCTCTGCCAAGGTGACATTGTACACCTGCCTCCGGAAGATGGGCTCGTTGTCATTCACGTCATCCACCGTGACGCTCACCAGGCAGGTGGCAGAGAGCGGGGGCTCTCCGAGGTCCTGGGCCACTACTTTGAGCTCCATGGCCTTCTGGACCTCTCTATCCAGAGTCCGAATGGTGCTGATCACCCCGCTTTCGGGGTTGATGGCGAAAGACGGCCCACACTCTGCGCTGGGCTGCAAAGCCTCGGGGGTGCAGAGAGCGGAGAGCTGGACGAGCGTGTAGTGCACCCGGGCGTGATCAGTGCCAGCCTCGTCGGCGTCGGAGGCGCTGACCCACAGGACTGTGGTGCCCGGGGCCGCAGCCTCAGACACCGAAGCCTGGTAGCGCTCCTGGCTGAAGACGGGCGGCTGGTCGTTGAGGTCGGACACCTGAAGCAGAAGCGTCTCCTGGGTGCTCAGGGGCGGGAACCCCGCATCCACGGCCTCTAGTCGCAGCTCAAACAGATCTCGGCTTTCTCGGTCCAGGGGCCCCTCGATGCAAAGGAAAAACACCCCTGGGGGGCCGCCGGGCCTCAGCGCGAAGGCTCCCTCCCCGCCCTCCAAGGCTAGCGAGACGCCGCCACCAAGGCCCACACCAAGCGCCCCGGCGGCCTCCTCTTCCTCCTCCGAGTCACAGTCTGCGTCCGACACGGAGACACGAGCCACATAGTCACCAGGTCGGGCGCCCTCGGAGACTCGGGCCGCGCCCCCCTCCGTGAGGAACAGCAGGTGGATGGCGGGCCGGTTGTCATTCACGTCCAGCACGGCGACAGACACGCGCACCGTGGCGACCTCGGGCTCGGCGCCCCCGTCGCGGGCCTCGACCACCAGCTGGTGCCAGGCCTGCGCCTCGCGGTCCAGGGGTCTCCGCACGCGCACCACGCCGCTCAGCTCCTCCACCTCGAAGTGGGCCTCGCCGGCC